CCCTCTTAGCTGTTATTGACCCTTGCCTGTTAACGGACTTGTGTTGCTTTGTTATGTTTGTAGCTATGTACAGCGACACAGCTGGTTGTGTTTTGTATTCATTTGCATCTGTACCTGTAAGTATGAGGTCTACTGGGAGTTTTGGCTTAAAACTGAACTTCAGGTATGGCCCAATGTAGTATAAATATTTAATAACTGGTAGGGCCTTAGCATCCTGTAAAGCAGGGGTGGGGAACCTATGGCTCTCCAGCTGTACTGAAACTACAAATTCCATGATGCATCTGTCTCTGGGAGTCATGCCTGTGGCTGTGAGAACCTTGCAACGCCTCATGGGATTTGCAGTTTCACCACAGCTAAAGGGTTCGGAGGTTCCCCTTCCGTGCTGTAAAGCAATGTAGTAGAGATCTTCTGGGTCCTGTACTACCACTGTGATGAACGACTTCCCCTCTGCTGTGAAAACACAGAGGCTTGCTTGCTCAGCACAGCAGCCATTCAGCGAACACCTAGTATTTTTTATTAACAAATACAAGGCATTCTCTGATTGGACGTGAGGAATTGATGTGACCGCCCTTGTGCAATCAGAGAATGGATAGTATTCACTGAAAAAGCCCCTGTGCTGAGTAAGTGACCCTCTATGTAGTAGTGGTGGCTATTACAGTGTTTTACAGGATCCCAGGCCCTACTGGGTATAAAATATGAATACTTATATTGGGCCAAGCTCGACCAATGTAAGTGGAAATAAATATTTATACCTGGAGTTCAGCTGAAAAAAAGAACTGCAGGAAAAAACTTTATTAACCCTTGCAGTGGGGCTACCCCCGCACTGCAAGGATTAACAGCTTATTTTTTTTCTAGGAAAATAAAAAGTTATACTAACCTGATGCTCTGAGCCGGCTTCTTTTTAAGCTGGCTATACACCTATAGATTTTTTTTCTATTAGCCTATGGTCAGATGGAAAAAGTGCATCAGATTCCTCCATCTACGCTAAAAGTCACTGGTATCTTGCTAGTTGGCCCCGCTGGCTCTCAAAATACCTGAACAATGCCTGCATCCAATCAGCTTGTTCAGGTATTTTGACAGCCAGCGGAGCCGACTAGCAAGATACTGAATTTGACCAAGCAGGAGATTCCTCCATCCACACAGTTTAGCGTAGATGGAGGAACCTATTGCACTTTTTCCATCTGACCATAGAAAATCTCCAGATAATATGTAGGTGTATGGCCAGCTTTATACTGGCCTTTTCAACCTCTCTCCACCTCTCTCCACCTCTCTCCACCTCTCTCCACCTCTCTCCACCTCTCTCCACCTCTCTCCACCTCTCTCCACCTCTCTCCTCTGCAGTTGTCTAAGGTCCCGTAAATCATCACGTCTATACACAGTGAGGGTAATTTATCAAAACTGGAGCAGCCAGAATCAGGAGCAGTTGCCCATGGAAACCAATCGGCATCTCTCTTCAGTTTGCTCAGTTGAGATTTGAAGATGAGAGATAGAAGCTGATTGGTTACAACGCGAATCTGCTCCAGATTTGATAAATTCCCCCCAGCCTGTCTTCTCCTATGGCAACAAAACACCACAGACCCCCCCCTGTAGCCCCCAGAACACCTCAGACCTCCTCATGTAGCTTCCAGAACACCACAGACCCATCCACCAGGCAACAAAACACCACAGACCCCTTCTGTATCCTCCAGAACACCTCAGACCTCCTCATGTAGCCTCCAGAACACAACGGACCCCTCCAGCAGGCAACAAAACACCACAGACCCCTCCGAAAGCCCCCAGAACACAGAACAGGCCACCACCTCCAGCCACTAGAGCCCCACATGGCATCTAATGTAGCCCCAATATCTGCGAACGTTATTCTACAGCTACCAGCTCACCGCGAGTTTCCTTATTTAGCCACCAAACCACCACAGACTTTCATCTACAGCTGCAAGACCATCACAGACCTCTGCCTGCAAAGTGGTTGTGAGAAGAGATGGCCTGCCATTGTGCTACTATGATATCAGCCCACCAAAACCTAAACACTAGCTCCGAGGTACAGGAAGGGTAGTAGAAGCATGTTCAGTTATCACTAGTTGTTATTATTAAGAAGTGACAGATGTATAGATAGAATTAGTGGTTGTGTCCCTGACAACTGAGCACCCAGCAGAAGCTCCAAGGTATGTGCCTAAAGGTGGCCATACACTCTACAACCATCGCAAGACCTTAGTCTTGCGATCGTTGTACAGGGATTAAAAAAACGTACGATCTGCATATCTTGGACAGGCAGATCGCACTCTCGATCATCGCAAGCCCGCCCCCCTGAGGGGCGGGCTTCCGATGACCGCAATGCTGATGCGCACACCGGCCCGTTCGGCATTTGTCTTCCGAGCACCGTTCTAACCAGCCGAGAATCTTACGATTCCCGGCTGGTTTTCAAACATGCTGGTTAGACGGAAGACGTGCGACCGCACAGTAGAAACGGTCGCACGTCTCCGTTCACACTGCTCGATTCTCGTACGATCGCGGGATTTCCCGCGATTCTCGTACGAGAATCGAGCAGTGTATGGGCACCTTTACAATACCACTGCATGTTTGCATGTACACTGAGTGGCCAGTTTATTATGACCACCTGACGTTTGTAGGCAAATTTAGCTATAATTAGCTAAAATTTTCGAGCTGAAGTTGCTAGAGGGCCAGACCATTATAAATACGGAAGCAGGTTGTTTACCACGACAGTAGAAGTGATTTTTTTCCTGAAGATATGGGTAAACAACACAATTTAACAGCCTTTGAACGTGGGATGATTGTTGGCGCGAGCCATGGAGCGAGTATCAGCAAAACAGCAGAATTCGTTAAATGTTCAAGAGGTATGAAATTAATGGTAAAAGCCGCGCTGTAAGAATGAAACCGCAAAAGTGTCAGATATAGTAGATATTGACCTTGAAGTAATGTGATACAATGTGTAAAAAATGAATGAAGAAACGCATATATATAACATGCACCTTATTCATCCGAATGGCCCATGCATCAAATAAAAAATGGAGATTCGTAGTGCAGATGGTTTTAAAAGGATAATAAACTTTATTAAAAAAGGATACTACTCACATATCCTAGATAAAAGTAAGGTATTTGGTAAGCAGCCACAGACACTGTGGATCTGATAAATGAAGTCACGCCCTTTGACGTAACGTACGTCACCCTACGTACGTTACGTCAAAGGGCGTGACTTCATCAGGGGTCTGATGAATGAAGTCACGCCCTTTGACATAGCGTACGTAGGGTGGAGTAGAGGAGCTGAGCGATTGCACACAGTGTCTGTGGCTGCTTACCAAATACCTTACTTTTATCTAGGATATGTGAGTAGTATCCTTTTTTAATAAAGTTTATTATTAGTGATGTCACTGGTTGCCAAGAGCTGAGTGGGATGCTCCGGCCAGCATCCTACCAAGCATCCAGCAACCCCCAGCAGCTCCTGGCAACCAGAGACATCAGTGAGCTGGGCAGGACGCCGGCCAGATCCAGAGCTGGGTGGTGAGATGATCAGCACGGTTGCCATCGCTGTTCAGATAATTTTCTGATTGACTCATTCGATTTTCTGATCAAAGGTTGCCGGATGGAAATCTGCCAAAAGTAGGGTTGCCACCTTTTCTTCAAGCGAAACCCAAACACTCAAGTGACGCGCAGACATTTTTTTGGGAGAATGAATCGCGGCTTACTCATATGTAAATAGCGCTGCTCATTCATATGTAAATATCACAGTTGAGACTATTTTCAGTGGGGGGCCAGTAGCCCCTACCCTAATTTTGGTTGCCCCTGCCTGGCTGATATCTTGTCAGGGTTTCTGCTGCCATGAAACCTGGACACAGCATTCAAAACCCAGACTGTCCAGGCGAATCCTGAACAAGTGGCAACCCTACCAACAGGGCCACCCAATGAATGAATTTCAGCTGGTTGTTCATGAATTGGCAGGAATTCATCAGAAAATTGAAGGAGTCAGACAGAAAACTTTTGGGCGAACAGTGATGGTAGCTTTTGTCGTGCTGTCATGCCTGTGATAATCTTGCAATGACTCATGGGATTTGTAGTTCCAAACAGCTGGAGAGTTGGAGTTTGTCCATCTCAGCCCTAAAGCCTCCTGAAATGCAGGACGTAAGTATCCCAGGAGGCTGCGAGGATGTAATTTTTGCATTGCAAAGTGAAAGCACGGTCTGCTTTCCAGAATAAAGGTAAAAAAACAAACATGTGATTTTGTGAAGGGGATGGGGTATTATTGAAGGTTTGCTTTGATATCTTGGATTTCCCATCTCTTGTTCCAGTGACAACTGAAACCAAGAAAGGGTGACTCTTTCTACAGGGGACACAGACAGGGTTCTGCTTTATTCATAAAGAAAGATTAGCTCCACTTTGTGTGGTAATTGCATTGTCCAGAACGGCAATCAAGAGCGCTTCCTCTCTATATACGTGATGAAAGTACACAGTGTACTCTCCCCTCTGGAAGACAGCCCTCCACAGCACGTCACAGTTTGGAAACAAAAGGCCTGACCAAGAAAAATTCCTCTAGTGAAATCAAAGGCTCTTATGTCATTTCCCCTTTAAGTGAATGAATCCCTAGACAGGGAAATTCCGGTAATGGGGGAGGGGAGGCTGTGTAGAGAGGTGGGCGGGGACTTCGC